GAGCTGGCCCTGCTTGTTTTCTAACCTCACCATCAACCACTTTTGCTTTGGTTTCTATTTACCAGCCACAGGACTTCTCTCACTTCCTCTATGTGCCTGCTGAGAACTAGGCATTCTAAACCCAAGCCTTCATCCTGTGTGGCCAGCCCCTTTCCAGAGCCCAGCTTTAGGAGACTCTTGCTTTTTCCTCTTGCATTATTTATTTTCTGATTGCTCTGTAGCATATGAGTTCCTACAGAGATGACCTGCTATCTCAATTGTCACTTCACTTCTGGGATTTTCGAATATGATTGATATGCAGTAGTTGAATGTTCTATTTGAATATTTATTAAATAAGTGGATGGATAGAAGAGGTAGGTTATAGCTTTGCATCCAAGAGGACAGCCTGCACTGGATGAAAGGAAAGAAAACCTGTATTGCTATAAATGAAAAAGAGGAGAGAAATGGGGTGAGAATGAGGAAGTAGATGAAAATCTAATCTTGAAGTCTGCTTTTAGATCAGTGTTTGTCAAACTGTGTTGTCATGAAATCAATTGAGTGGGCTGCTCTTAGCATTTAATCAGATGGAGACATACAAATAGTGTTCTTTGTTCTCAGTAAATGTACCACAGTAAGGCTGTTTCCATGTACATCATATATGTCTATGTACACATGTATGTTTTAGCATGGTAGAAAAAGTTTTTCCTGTTTTAGCTTGACTGGAGGTAGCAAAGAATGTAGTGTTGCGTGACACCCCATGCCTCTGTTACTAAAAGAGATATCACTTCTTAGGGATTGATGTTGTTTGTTAGAAAGGCACCTGGAAATCTACCTCCTTTGTGAAAATATTTAAGAGACCCTTCCCACAAAAGACACTAATCCTCAGAAGCGATACTGCTGTTAGTGACATAGAAGCATAGGGTGTCACACAGAACTATATTCCTTGCTGCCTCTACGATTTCTAGGTTTCTGGGAGGCGTGAACTCTGCCTTATTCTCTGCATCCTAGTGCCTAGCTATGACATAGCTGTTGCAAGAATGAACAAATGTCAAAGAGAATGTTTATGCTTTTCTAAAGCTATCGTTTGTGAATGGAATCACTATAGAAGTCTGCTGGCCACACACATGCTAGGCAAACATTCTACCACTGAACTTCTTCACAACCCACCTACAGTTTTTAACAGGAACAATTTTGGTGAGAAAAGCAGTCATGACCCTCTTTAGTTTCATAAGTTTCAGTATGGATCCTGTCCACTATAACAACAGAAACCCCAGTAAGACAAAAAAGTACCCAAACAAAGCAAAACAAAAAACACATCAAAACACAGAGTGCATTTTGTGTTAGCTCACTATTCCTAGGCATGTTGACTGCTCTGGAGTATACTTGATACACCCAGTGACATTCTATTGGAGAAAACTAATTTTCCCCGTCCTTCTTGGCTTGGTGTAGAACTCCGTATCTACTTCCCTTCCTCAGTGCTGGGACTTTGTCTTGTCTGTACCTGTGCAGGTGTTTTGTATTTTGTCACAGTCTCTGTGAGTTCATAATTGTTCATTAGCCTTGTTGTATCTGGAAGACACCGTTTCCATAGTCATCCACCACCTTTGGCTCTTACATCCATTCCCCTTTCTTTTCCACATAGATCCCTGAGCCTTGACTATTTGATGAAGACATTCCAGTGAGGGCTGAGTTCCCTAAAGTCTTTCACTCTCTGTGCATTGTCCCCCTGTGGGTCTCTGTGCTAATTACCATCTGTTACAAGAAGATACTTCTCTGATGAGGGTTAGGGATGCACTCATCTATGGCTATAGTAACGTGTCTTTGGGAGTCATTTTATTGCTATGTCCATTTAGCAGAATAATAATAGAAAGTTTTCCTTGTGGGCCCATGAATTGTTTAGTCTCAGGTTCTTTTCCACTTTTGCAGTGTCAGGTATGGTTCCATCTTTCAGAGTTGGTCTCAAATCCAAATAAAAACAGTGGATGGTTACTTCTATAGCATTTGTGTCACTGTTGGATTAGTATATCCTGCAGGCAGGTCACTGTTGTAGGTTGTAGGGTTTGTAGCTGAGTGATGATTATTTTTCTGTTCGGGTAATATACATAGTACTTTCCAGTACCGTTAATGCTAGTCAGTAGATGTGAAGCCTCTAGTTAGGAGCCAGCTCAATTTCTCTATATTTTACAATGTGTTGTTATGCATACGGACATATTCCATCTTCACTATGTAAATATACTTTGAACACACAGAAATAGCAATACAGAAACATTGGTTATAATGGCAGGTAAATTATGTTTTGGTGTAATTTATTACTTTAAATTTGAATTATGTGCTTTTGTCTGTATGGACGTATGTGCACATTTAAGTACAGGTGCATGAAAAGTCCAGAAGACAGTGTTGGACCCCTCCAGCTGGATTTACAGTTGGTTATGAGGTACTCCGTGTGCAGCTGGGAATTGCAAAGGCAGAGGACCAGAGAGCTTTTAACTGCTAAACCATCTCACCAGTCCCTGTTGGCTTTTATTTAATTATGCTTTTTAAGAAAATTTGGCTAAATTTCCCAGGCTGTCCTGAAATTTACTGTGTGGCACAGGTTGACCTTGATCTATAGATTGTACTGCCTCAGCATTTTTGGTGCTATTATTACACATGTATATTACTACACCTGGGTGTTACTATTAGCTCCTTTAAAAAACATATGTTAGCAATAGCTTTCAACATCTTGTAAATGCTAAGTAGGAATCTATCAACTAATGAATTTGTAACACAAGAAATACAAATCCATAACATAAATACAAGAGTCAAATTATCCCATAGTGGATAATTTTGCCTATGTCTTTTTATGAGGTCATTCCTTCAAGAGTACTTAGAGGCAAGGCAGAGACATAGCATAATACAACAGAGAAATTATCCTGATGGTATGTTTGTAATATGTATATAATTAAGAAAAGTAATAATAAGAAAAAGAGAAACATGAATCAACATTGACTAACAGAGTGTGACAGAGTTGCAGTTTACATGTAGTTTATCCTCTCCCAACCTGAGGCTGGCTGTTAGTACCACTGTCTTAGTTTGCTTTTTTATTGTTATGCTAAAGACCATGGGCAAAAACAACTAGAGGAGAAAACAGTTTATTTGGCCTCCAAATCCATGTTACAGCTCATCCTGGGAAGCCAGGGCAGGAATTCAAGTCAGGAACCCAGAGGCAGGAGCTTAGGCAGAAGCCTGTATTCTGAATATTTTAACATTAGGGCTTCTATTGCTGGGAAGAGACACCATTGACAATGGCAACTCTTATAAAGGAAAACATTTCCTTGGGTCTGGCTTACAGCTCAGAGGTTCATTCAGTTCATTATGATCATGGCAATCCATGACAGATATGGTGCTGGAGATGGAGCTGAGATTCCTAAATCTTGATCAGCAGACAACAGGTCTGACACTGGGTGTAGCTTAAGCAAAGGAAGCCTCAAAGCCCATCCCCACACTGGCACCACACTTCCTCCAAAAGGCCACACCTACTCTAACAAGGCCACACCTCCTAATAGTGCCACTCCCTTTGAGTGCCATTTGCTTTCCAACCTCCACATTAGCAATTATATTTATCTCCTTTTTTTAAGTTTAAATGCAGTGTTTCTTGTAGCCCAGGATGACTTCAAACTGCATAAAAGCAGGTGACCTGGAATTCTTGATTTTACTGTCTCTACCTCCCAAGTGTTGGGATTATAGACATGTGCCTCTATATCTGGCCTTTGGAAACTCAGTGTCATTATGAGCTTTGGCGGGGCCAGACATTAAAACTGTATCACAGAGATATTTGATGATAGACTGATGGGCACACTTATCATTGTTTTTTTGGGGGGGGAGTGTGGGGAAAGAAAGTTGAGACAAAATCTTATGAGGCCCAGATTGGACTTGTATGCCTGATGCCTCTACCTCTGACTGCTAGGAATGTGTGTTCTGCCATGCCTAGCAAACTTTTTAAGTATGAAATAGGGCAATGTAAAACAAAACATAAACAAAATGACTGAAGCCTGTCTGCAGTGTGGCTGGAGAATCCTGAGACTGATGTCTTTCTATCCTCAATTTTATGGAGAGCAAATGCCTCTTATCCTCAGTGAGGCTGGAGATTGAATGCCTCCTATCCTCAGTGTCAGCTCTGAGACCTTGTTCCTGTCTTATATACCTCTTATGAATCCTAGGATTAAAGGCTTGTGATCCCAAGTGCTGAGATCATCTTTGCATGAGCTGTTTCTCTTTAGGACTGGATATATTCATGTAGCTCAGTGTGACCTTGAACTATTAGAAATCTGTCTAACTCTTAATCCTGAGTCCTGGGATTAAAGGTGTGTGCCTGGCTTCTGTGGCTTGTGTCTGACATTGCTTTCTGAATCCTCAGACAAACTTTAATAAATCATAAATAATATATCACTACACTTTCCTATTGTGAATTTGTATAATTCTGACTAACTGAAAAAGCAAAGAACATGTACTATTTTAGTATATATGGCATAGTAAGTTTTGAAAGAACTTTTCAGTTATGCACATATGTGAGTGTATGTTTGTGCTAGTGAGTACAGGTATCCATGGTCAGAGGAGGCTATCCTATGTCTTGTAGCTGGAGTTATTGGTGGTTGCGAGACTCCTCATGTGGGTCTTGGGAAGTGGACTCGGATCTTCTGCAAGAGCACTACAGTGCTGTTAAGTGCTGGGCCATCTTTCCAGTCCCTCAATAAATGGCTCATTATATACTTAACAAATAGAAGCAAACCAAACCAACAACAACAAACTTAAAAAATTTTGAACAAATATATATTGAAGTTAAATAGTAGTGTCAGAATATGTTTAGCATTCTCCTATAAGGTGTGTGAATATTTTTAGTCATGTATAGAGACAGCTCAGATCACTGAGCTACTGATCTTCTCTACTATACCTTCATTTTCTAATGTATCTAGTCAGCATCCTTTAAATCTTGGAACAGAGTCCAGAATGAAGCTTAATGATGATGATTGTTTGTTTTATAGGCTTTAAAGAAGCTAGGAGTACCAGAGAAGACCTGGGAAGCGTGAGAATCTCTGCAGCTGGGGCCACAATGTCATTCATAGATCCTTATCAGCACATTATAGTAAGTGTTGTATTCTTTCTGGGAGGGAAGCTTATGTGTTTTGTGTGTGTGTGTGTTAGTGTGTGTGTGTTCGTGTGTGTGTGTGCATGTGTGTGTGTACGGATATGTGTGCATGTTGCTAGTGTTACTAGTAAAACTAAAATTTCAAACTACTCCTTGAATTCGTATTATACTCATAAACATCATGTTGTACACTAGGCGATGGTGCATTATGAAGTAGACTCATGCCTTTTGGTTGGTGTAAATCTTCAGAAAAAAAGTTTTTAGGAGAAAAGATAACCAAAATATCTGTAACAACAGCAAATGTTAGCACTTCACATTTATCAAAGAGCATAGCTGCATGTGACTTTGTAGACAAAGGACAAATGAACTTCTGAATTTATGGCTATATGTTGATATTCATCTCCAAGGGAAACAGTTCTATAAACTTTCACTTAGCTAGAGATGCTGAGCAAATTCTTCTATGGTTGCCTAATTTTTAGTGAAGAGTTCACTAATTCAAAATTTATTCATTGTGATTTTCTGTATTTCACTGAAGAATACAGTCTCTCTTTTGATTAAAAAGCAAACTAAACTAAAACAACAACAGCAGCAGCAAGGAGAGCTTTCTTGGCTGAACTCAGCACATGAAATTCAGTTAGGGTGCAATGGACTGGAGATAGAGTTTGTGAGTATTGATGAATAACCTATGGCCTCATTTTCACTTAATGAAATACTGTTGTCTTATTCATTCTTCCCTACTTAACCTTTCTTTCCCTGCCTGGATTAGAAATCGATATATTGTAGTTAGTATAATGCTTTCTTCCTTCTGACTCACCAAAAACTGCATTTGTCCCTTCCTTCACAAAAAGACTTCTCAACAGTGTAAATCTTGTTCCAAACTCAGTGGAACTCCAGCTTTCCCCATCCCCAGTTCTGCTGGCCATTCCCTCCTCAAATTCTCCTGAGATTTCTTTAGTTTTCATTCCTTTGGTTACTTCTTAATTTTCATTTATAACACACACACACACACACACAAACACACACACACACACACACACGTGTGCTTGCCTACCACCATGCTTCTTGACATGATGATAATGTACTAAGTCTCAACCATTTCTGTGATTTGTGAACACTGCTAGTTTTCCTCCTCCTGTTTTGATCACTGAGTGTTAAATATTCTGTTGTTTGTAAACCATACATCTTAGCCCATAAATTGTGAGATGTCATATTTTAATATATTTTTAATTTTCACTGTGATTTTTCCTTTGATACATAGAGCATATAGGTATATCCATCTTAATTTTCAAACATTTGATAATTCTTAAGTGTTCAGAACACACTCCATAAGATTCTTTTTTTTTTTCCAAGACAGAGTTTTTCTGTGAAGCACTGGCTGTCCTGGAACTCACTCTGTAAACCAGAGATCTGCTGGCTCCTGCCTCCCTATACTCCATAAGATCTTAAAACAAATTTATATGTGATTATCATATAGCATATAATCTATTTTGATAAACAAGTCACATGTAAAATATGTTTCATATCCAAATTTTACTTTATGAAATTTAAGTTGTGATTTTTTTGGCACATATAACTTTGAATTATTTATGTATGTTCTCATTGATTGGTATTGTATTATTACCTATGATAATAATTTGGTTTTAATTTTATTTCATCTTTTATTAGTATAACTCTTGTTTGTTTAACATATTCTCTACTTTTCCTTTTATATTTAAAGTATTTATCTTTTAAAAAGCAAATAATCAAGGTTTGATTAAAAATGTTTTTGGAGTAATCTTTGTTTTCTGAAACAATATTTTATTTTTTGATTATTTTCTGCATTAGTAAACAGCTTTCTAAAAATGGATTATCTTTATTTTTAATTATGGGTGTATGTGAGCTTGAGTGCAGGTTCCCACAGAGGCAGGAGGAATCAGAGATCCCTTGAGCTGGCATTACAGGCAGTTAAGAGGTACCAATGTGGGTCTAGGAGTTAAACACTGGTCATTTGCAAGAGCACTGCACACTCTTAACTACTGAGCCATCTTTGAGCTCACAGAGTGTCTGTCATTCATGAAACACACACACACACACACACACACACACACACACTTTTAATTTTTTAATTTTTGGTTTTTCAAGACAGGGTTTCTCTGTGGAGCTTTGGAGCTGTCCTGGAACTCACTGTTTAGACCAGGCTGGCCTCAAACCCCCAGAGATCTGCCTCCCTCTGCCTCCTGAGTGCTGGGATTAAAGGTGTGTGCCACCACCGCTCTGCATCTTAAATACAAGCTAGTTTTTATTTCTCACTCCATCACCCTTGGAGAGATAGGTGTTTTAATATAACTCTCAGGTAATTTAATCACACTGTCAATCCTCAGACTTCCCCAAGGGTTCTGGCCTCTGAAACAGATAAGGAAGAAGAATGGCTAGCATGGGTCTACATCCTTAAGTTTGTTACCAGATACACTTTGCAACTCAAGTGTTTGCACTTTTAATTCCTCCTACCTGTAGACACACATCCTGCCGTTCACTTGATGCTTCAGTATAGCAATCTCTGTCAGCATCACTGGGATAAAAAGGCAAACCTAGCAGGTGTGAGTTTGTCCTCACTTTCTATATAGAAGCTCCCTCTTTCTATATAGCCCCCACCTCCTTTCATTTGTGTATTTTATTAAATCTTGATTCCACACATGAGACTAAAAATCTGATATGTGTCTTTGTGAATTGTGCTGTGCCTGCTGCACTGCCTGTGTCTGAGAATGGGCAGAGGGTGTCGGGACTGATGACACAGAGACCCATTGGTGGCTTCCAGAAAGCTCTTCAAGAAGGCTCCCTTTATTCCTACCCTGGCTGGTTATATATATTCTGACACCAGAAGCGGCGGTAGGTGGGTCAGAAAGAGGCGGTTAGTCTTTGGAAAAGGTCAAGGTCAGGGCATTCCCATGGGCCAGCCCCTATGCTCAGGATTGGAAAAGTTCAAGGTCAGGGCATTTCCTTGGGCCAGCCCTTATCAGGAATTTATTGCCCTGGGCACTGTATTGTTTTTAGTAAACATCGTCTTACAGCTGCCTGCTCCCAGGCTGATGGGGAAGTGGGCCTCCAGCCAAGGTCTGTTGTTCCCACAAATTGCATAATCTTTTATTTTTATTCTTTGCTGCCTATCTATCTATCTATCTATCTATCTATCTAATCTACCTATCTACCTATGTGAGACAGGATCACATTATTGTAGCTCTGTTAGGCCTGGAATCTACTACATAAACTAGGCTGGCTTTTAACTCATGGAGATCTGCTTGCCTTGGCCTTTGGGGTGCTAGCATTAATTGCATACAAATATCTCTTTTAAATGAAGTGGACCCTATGAATTCAGAATTGTCTTTATTTTTTGGGTGCTGTATGCATATCATAACAAAACTGAGTGCATGTGTAGATGAAAACATGCCTCACTCTGGCTTTCAGGGGAAATTGTTTTCCATTTAATTAATTTTGGGTCAGGTTCTTGCTATGGAACTGAGGCTGGCTCAAAGCTGGGTGTCTGAAGCTAACCTTATATTGACAGTTATCTCTTTGGATCTGTGCTGAGATTATGGAGTGTTCCACAATACTAGAAAAGATCCTTTTAAAATGTATTACTGAACTCTTTCAGTATAGAGCAGCATTAGTTAAAATAGGGAAGATGGAATGAAGCCAGATGTCCTGTAGTAAGTAGTTGCTGCCAGACAAGCCAAAAGTCTGACTGCTCTAAGTCCTAGGATGTGGCTTTCAAAACTACACCTCTGCATTGAAGAATACTGTGGGCTGATGCTGTGTTTGCAGCCACCAAGCTCTCCTGCTTTTAGTGGCACTGGCTTACAAGATGGCAGTAGAGCATGGAAAGATAACTGTGTGATGGAACTACCTTCCCATTAGCCTAGAGTTATTTTAAGGTGCTTTCCAATACTAAAAATATCCATGCGTTTTGAATTTCTTATACCTATTTTTTGGTTGTTCTGTTACCATGGAAACATCAACTTCATGAGGAAAGATAAAGAATAAAGCATGTATCAAACTAAGTGGGGTGGCTTACACTTGTAATTTCAAAACAAAACATGAGACACTGAGAGACAGGAGGCTGTTATGGAATATTAGGGTTATTTGTTTGTTTGTTTGTTTGTTTTTGTTTTTGTGTCTAACTTTGGAGCCTGCCCTGGCACTCATTCTGAAGACCATGTTGGTTTTGAACTCATAGAGATCCATCTGCCCCTGCCTCCTGATTTCTGGGATTAAGGGCATATATCATCACTTATTAACTTAATATTAACTTAAGATGTGTTACATTTGTTTATGCGGTGGAATATTTGTTTGATGATGCAAAGATCTGTTGCATGCTTTTATGTTGCATGTATTAGCTCTGTAAAGTTGTGTTACTTAGCCCACCTAAAACACCTCATTGGTCTAATAAAGAGATGAATGGCTGATAACTAGGAGGCAGAGAGAAATAGATGGGGATGGCAGGTAGAGAGAATAAAAAAGAGAGAGAGGAGTAAGAAAAGGAGGAGAACAATTTGAATAGACTTATAACCCTTAATAAAATAGAAGCAGTCATCAACCAAAAGGCTCCCAACCAAAAAAAGCCTAGGACCAGATGGTTTCAGTGCACAGAAATTCAATTCCAATTCTCCTCAAAGTATTCCACACAATAGAAGCAGAAGGGTCATTGCCAAACTCTTTTTATGAGGGTTCAATAACCTTGGTACTCAAGCCACACAAAGACATAACTAAGAGAGAGAACTATAGACCATTATCCCTCATGAACATTTATGCAAAAATACTGGCGAATCAGATCCAAGAACACATCAGAAAAATCATCCACCATGATCAAGTAGGCATCATCCCAGGGATGCAGGGATTGTTCAACATATGAAAATCCATCAATGTAATCTACCATATAAACAAACTGAGAAAGAGAAATCGTATGATAATCTCACTAGATTCTGCAAAAGCTTTTGACATAATCCAACACCCCTTTATAATAA